CTACTCTGCTCTGATTGGTCAGATGGCCCAGTCTGCTGTGATTGGTCTACTCTGCTCTGATTGGTTCAGATGGCCCAGTCTGCTGTGATTGGTCTACTCTGCTCTGATTGGTCAGATGGCCCAGTCTGCAGTGATTGGTCTACTCTGCTCTGATTGGTCAGATGGCCCAGTCTGTTGTGATTGGTCTACTCTGCTCTGATTGGTCAGATGGCCCAGTCTGCAGTGATTGGTTTACTCTGCTCTGATTGGTCAGATGGCCCAGTCTGCTGTGATTGGTCTACTCTGCTCTGATTGGTCAGATGGCCCAGTCTGTTGTGATTGGTCTACTCTGCTCTGATTGCTCAGATGGCCCAGTCTGTTGTGATTGGTCTACTCTGCTCTGATTGGTCAGATGGCCCAGTCTGTTGTGATTGGTCTACTCTGCTCTGATTGGTCAGATGGCCCAGTCTGTTGTGATTGGTCTACTCTGCTCTGATTGGTCAGGTGGCCCAGTCTGTTGTGATTGGTCTACTCTGCTCTGATTGGTCAGGTGGCCCAGTCTGTTGTGATTGGTCTACTCTGTTCTGATTGGTCAGATGGCCCAGTCTGTTGTGATTGGTCTACTCTGCTCTGATTGGTCAGGTGGCCCAGTCTGTTGTGATTGGTCTACTCTGCTCTGATTGGTCAGGTGACCCAGTCTGTTGTGATTGGTCTACTCTGTTCTGATTGGTCAGATGGCCCAGTCTGTTGTGATTGGTCTACTCTGCTCTGATTGGTCAGATGGCCCAGTCGGTTGTGATTGGTCTACTCTGCTCTGATTGGTCAGGTGGCCCAGTCTGTTGTGATTGGTCTACTCTGCTCTGATTGGTCAGGTGGCCCAGTCTGTTGTGATTGGTCTACTCTGTTCTGATTGGTCAGATGGCCCAGTCTGTTGTGATTGGTCTACTCTGCTCTGATTGCTCAGATGGCCCAGTCTGTTGTGATTGGTCTACTCTGCTCTGATTGGTCAGATGGCCCGGTCTGCAGTGATTGGTCTACTCTGCTCTGATTGGTCAGATGGCCCAGTCTGTTGTGATTGGTCTACTCTGCTCTGATTGGTCAGATGGCCCAGTCTGTTGTGATTGGTCTACTCTGCTCTGATTGGTCAGATGGCCCAGTCTTCTGTGATTGGTCTACTCTGCTCTGATTGGTCAGATGGCCCGGTCTGCAGTGATTGGTCTATTCTGCTCTGATTGGTCAGATGACCCAGTCTGTTGTGATTGGTCTACTCTGCTCTGTTTGGTCCGATGGCCCAGTCTGTTGTGATTGGTCTACTCTGCTCTGATTGGTCAGATGGCCCAGTCTGCTGTGATTGGTCTACTCTGCTCTGATTGGTCAGATGGCCCAGTCTGTTGTGATTGGTCTACTCTGCTCTGATTGGTCAGATGGCCCAGTCTGTTGTGATTGGTCTACTCTGCTCTGATTGGTCAGATGGCCCGGTCTGCAGTGATTGGTCTACTCTGCTCTGATTGGTCAGATGGCCCAGTCTGTTGTGATTGGTCTACTCTGCTCTGATTGGTCAGATGGCCCAGTCTGTTGTGATTGGTCTACTCTGCTCTGATTGGTCAGATGGCCCAGTCTTCTGTGATTGGTCTACTCTGCTCTGATTGGTCAGATGGCCCGGTCTGCAGTGATTGGTCTACTCTGCTCTGATTGGTCAGATGACCCAGTCTGTTGTGATTGGTCTACTCTGCTCTGTTTGGTCCGATGGCCCAGTCTGTTGTGATTGGTCTACTCTGCTCTGATTGGTCAGATGACCCAGTCTGCTTTGATTGGTCTACTCTGCTCTGATTGGTCAGATGGCTCAGTCTGCTGTGATTGGTCTACTCTGCTCTGATTGGTCAGATGGCCCAGTCTGCTGTGATTGGTCTACTCTGCTCTGATTGGTCAGATGGCCCAGTCTGTTGTGATTGGTGTATTCTGCTCTGTTTGGTCCGATGGCCCAGTCTGTTGTGATTGGTCTACTCTGCTCTGATTGGTCAGATGGCCCAGTCTGTTGTGATTGGTCTACTCTGCTCTGATTGGCCAGATGGCCCGGTCTGCTGTGATTGGTCTACTCTGCTCTGATTGGCCAGATGGCCCAGTCTGCAGTGATTGGTCTACTCTGCTCTGATTGGCCAGATGGCCCAGTCTGTTGTAATTGGTCTACTCTGCTCTGATTGGTCAGATGGCCCAGTCTGTTGTGATTGGTCTACTCTGCTCTGATTGGTCAGATGGCCCAGTATGTTGTTATTGGTCTACTCTGCTCTGATTGGTCAGATGGCTCAGTCTGCTGTGATTGGTCTACTCTTCTCTGATTGGTCAGATGGCTCAGTCTGCAGTGATTGGTTTACTCTGCTCTGTTTGGTCCGATGGCCCAGTCTGTTGTGATTGGTCTACTCTGCTCTGATTGGTCCGATTGCCCAGTCTGTTGTGATTGGTCTACTCTGCTCTGATTGGTCAGATGGCTCAGTCTGCTGTGATTGGTCTACTCTGCTCTGATTGGTCAGATGGCTCAATCTGCAGTGATTGGTCTGCTCTGCTCTGTTTGGTCCGATGGCCCAGTCTGTTGTAATTGGTCTACTCTGCTCTGATTGGTCAGATGGCTCAGTCTGTTGTGATTGGTCTACTCTGCTCTGATTGGTCAGGTGGCCCAGTCTGTTGTGATTGGTCTACTCTGCTCTGATTGCCCAGATGGCCCAGTCTGCAGTGATTGGTCTACTCTGCTCTGATTGGCCAGATGGCCCAGTCTGTTGTAATTGGTCTACTCTGCTCTGATTGGTCAGATGGCTCAGTCTGCTGTGATTGGTCTACTCTGCTCTGATTGGTCAGATGACCCAGTCTGCTTTGATTGGTCTACTCTGCTCTGATTGGTCAGATGGCTCAGTCTGCTGTGATTGGTCTACTCTGCTCTGATTGGTCAGATGGCCCAGTCTGCTGTGATTGGTCTACTCTGCTCTGATTGGTCAGATGACCCAGTCTGCTGTGATTGGTCTACTCTGCTCTGATTGGTCAGATGGCTCAGTCTGCTGTGATTGGTCTACTCTGCTCTGATTGGTCAGATGACCCAGTCTGCTGTGATTGGTCTACTCTGCTCTGATTGGTCAGATGGCTCAGTCTGCTGTGATTGGTCTACTCTGCTCTGATTGGTCAGATGGCCCAGTCTGCTGTGATTGGTCTACTCTGCTCTGATTGGTCAGATGACCCAGTCTGCTGTGATTGGTCTACTCTGCTCTGATTGGTCAGATGGCCCAATCTGTTGTGATTGGTCTACTCTGCTCTGATTGGCCAGATGGCCCGGTCTGCTGTGATTGGTCTACTCTGCTCTGATTGGCCAGATGGCCCAGTCTGTTGTAATTGGTCTACTCTGCTCTGATTGGTCAGATGACCCAGTCTGCTGTGATTGGTCTACTCTGCTCTGATTGGTCAGATGGCCCAGTCTGTTGTGATTGGTCTACTCTGTTCTGTTTGGTCCGATGGCCCAGTCTGTTGTGATTGGTCTACTCTGCTCTGATTGGTCAGATGGCCCAGTCTGCTGTGATTGGTCTACTCTGCTCTGATTGGTCAGATGGCCCAGTCTGTTGTGATTGGTCTACTCTGCTCTGATTGGTCAGATGGCTCAGTCTGCTGTGATTGGTCTACTCTGCTCTGATTGGTCAGATGGCCCAGTCTGCTGTGATTGGTCTACTCTGCTCTGATTGGTCAGGTGGCCCAGTCTGTTGTGATTGGTCTACTCTGCTCTGATTGGTCAGATGGCCCAGTCTGCTGTGATTGGTCTACTCTGCTCTGATTGGTCAGATGGCCCAGTCTGTTGTGATTGGTCTACTCTGCTCTGATTGGCCAGATGGCCCGTCCTGCTGTGATTGGTCTACTCTGCTCTGATTGGCCAGATGGCCCAGTCTGCAGTGATTGGTCTACTCTGCTCTGATTGGCCAGATGGCCCGGTCTGCTGTGATTGGTCTACTCTGCTCTGATTGGCCAGATGGCCCAGTCTGCAGTGATTGGTCTACTCTGCTCTGATTGGCCAGATGGCCCAGTCTGTTGTAGTTGGTCTACTCTGCTCTGATTGGTCAGATGGCCCAGTCTGCTGTGATTGGTCTACTCTGCTCTGATTGGTCAGGTGGCCCAGTCTGTTGTGATTGGTCTACTCTACTCTGATTGGTCCGATGGCCCAGTCTGCTGTGATTGGTCTACTCTGCTCTGATTGGTCAGATGGCCCAGTCTGTTGTGATTGGTCTACTCTGCTCTGATTGGCCTGATGGCCCGTCCTGCTGTGATTGGTCTAATCTGCTCTGATTGGCCAGATGGCCCAGTCTGCAGTGATTGGTCTAATCTGCTCTGATTGGCCAGATGGCCCAGTCTGTTGTGATTGGTCTACTCTGCTCTGATTGGCCAGATGGCCCGTCCTGCTGTGATTGGTCTAATCTGCTCTGATTGGCCAGATGGCCCAGTCTGCAGTGATTGGTCTACTCTGCTCTGATTGGCCAGATGGCCCGGTCTGCTGTGATTGGTCTACTCTGCTCTGATTGGCCAGATGGCCCAGTCTGCAGTGATTGGTCTACTCTGCTCTGATTGGCCAGATGGCCCAGTCTGTTGTAATTGGTCTACTCTGCTCTGATTGGTCAGATGGCTCAGTCTGCAGTGATTGGTTTACTCTGCTCTGTTTGGTCCGATGGCCCAGTCTGTTGTGATTGGTCTACTCTGCTCTGATTGTTCCGATGGCCCAGTCTGTTTTGATTGGTCTAATCTGCTCTGATTGGCCAGATGGCCCGTCCTGCTGTGATTGGTCTACTCTGCTCTGATTGGCCAGATGGCCCAGTCTGCAGTGATTGGTCTACTCTGCTCAGTCTGTAAGTTAAAGCAAGAAAATGATTCAAAGCACAGGAGTAAATCCACCTCTGAACGGCTCGAGAAAGCACAGTTAAAGTTTTGGAGTGTCCTCGTGAATGTGTGTGCACTAATTCACTTTAACTTACATGTGACACAAGAGACATTTGTCTTACCTTATATGATGAAACCACTTCACTGATGGGTCTGACTGTGTGATTGTCGTGTTGCTGTGAGGTAGAGCACACTATACACACAGGCTGTTTGTCCTCCAGGCAGAAGAGTTTGAGTTTCTCACTGTGTAAACTGCATATCTCCTCAGATCCTGATGAACGTGTCTCATTTCTCTCCGTCAGGATTGACTCGCACAAGTTTTTTAACGCCAGATCATATGGAGGATTTTGTTTTGAGGATCTTCTCCTGCAGACAGGACACTCCTGAGTTTTCTTGGTTCTCCAGAACTGTTGAAGACACTCTTTACAGACACTGTGACTACATGATAAAACAACAGGAGCCTTGAAGATGTCACAGCACACGGGACAAGAAAGCTCTTCTGCAGACACATTTAGTGAAGCCATTTTCACCGTTTGAGCTCCAGCAACACAAACTTTACTTCCACTTTCTGAACAACGGTTTTAAAAACGAATCACCTTGAGAATCACAATGATCTGCTCTCTGTTCAGAAACAAATGTCTCAAAAATCCTTCTTGAAAGTGTTTGTCTTCATTCTCTGCTGATCGCTGCTTCTTTATTGCTTTTGTCGAGAGAGAAGAGAGTCAGCATGACAGAAAAGAGAAATAATAAGTCAGTCTCTTCCTGGTAAGTGATGTAAGAGGGTGAGGTTCATGAGGGTGGAGTTTATTTGGGTAAAAGAAAACTGGAAAAACAAGTGTGTGTGTGTGTGTGTGTGTGTGTGTGTGTGTGTGTGTGTGTGTGTGTGTGTGTGTGTGTGTGTGTGTGTGTGTGTGTGTGTGTGTGTGTGTGTGTGTACTATTCACTGCTCCTAAATGTGTGTGCACTAATTCTGAATATGGGTTCAGGATTTATTTTTTACAATTTGAACAAAACTTGCATTGAAACTTTCTCAGGTATAATGCTATAAAACCTTGAATCAAACTCTAAAAAACACAAATATTGACAATAAAAATACTCAAAGACACTTTATTTATGTGTTTTATTTATTGCTCTTTATTTGTACATAGTTTAAGTATCCAATGACTTATCTGAGTTTTATTTGTTTAATAAATCCTTTTGTTATTTAATCTATTTTGTAACTTCATCATCATTGGACTAAAATGTTACATGTCAATTCACAGCTGCTCTTGTTAAGCAGTTTTACAGTTATGCTGTGTTTTTACAGTGCAATTGTAGTTGATTTACATTACTCTTTAATTTACAGGCTTGCTGGCAACCAAAATTTACTGTAAATGTTAAAAAACAATTACAATGTTGTATCATATTTGTACGTGGATACAAGTACTTAAACAGTTTGTGGTGGTCAACAATCAAGTACTTCAAATAAACCATTAGAGTGAGACAAGGCAAAAATACAACGTTCATTTTTTGAAGAAAAAACAACAACAAATAACCTTTGTGGGACGGTTTTAATGCTCTAAAAATCCACAATCAAGTAATACATCCTAGAAAGCAAATCCTGTTATGAAATAAAGTTTTGTGTGAAGAGTCGACCATGCTTTTTATCAAATGAGGAGTTATTACAAACATGAAAATACTTCAATGTATTAATGTCGCCCTGTAGTCAATCATTTTATCCCTTATAAATGACATATTTAAAAGATTTTTCCTTGAAAAAAATGTCTTCATGCCTTAAAATATCTTGAATGTAACTCGACACCCTTGCCTGATCTAGTATTTGTTTGGTTCTAAGAATATGCAAATGAGCCCCGCCTCCACTCGCTCCCTCAGCTCAGAGATCCACTGGTTGACGATCACACGTTGATCTGATTGGTTACAAGGTCGTTTGTGACGTCAGAAACACCAGCGATTTCAAACCGTGTTTTTGAGACTGTCTTTGGTTCACTGCAGTTTTAAGCAGAAAATACTCAGCAATGCTGTCGACTTATGAACTTACACATGGTGTGTCTTAAAGCGTATTAAAAACACCACATACACACATAAACAACATTAAAAGCTGGAATAGTGTAGAAGTTCCCTTTCGATACGGTTTATCTTCGATACATTTAGCTGACGCTAATGGTGAAAACGTCTCGGGTTATGACTATAACCCTTGTTCCCTGAGAAGGGAACGAGACACTGCGTCGTAAGATCGACACTTTGGGGACGCTCCCTAAGCGTGCGCCTCTGAAGTAAGAATGAAACTAATCCAATCCTGATTGGTGTTGCGTCGTGACGTAACATGTGACGGCATAACCGGATGCATAAAAGTGACGCTGACACATACACATATCAGCTCCGCGATGAAGCAAGACGCTCTCAGGCCTCGAGGGGCGTGGCAGGACGACGCAGTGTCTCGTTCCCTTCTCAGGGAACAAGGGTTATAGTCATAACCCGAGACGTTCCCTTTCGAGGGAACTCGAACTGCGTCGTAAGATCGACACTTTGGGGAACGAATGCCCACTAGGCCACGCAGCGAAGACAGGCCTGCCCCGGAGTGAAACTGATTCAGGCACTCAGCTAGGATGAGAGCACATGTGCGCCAGGCGTACTAGGGAGGTGCAGACTATAGAACCTAACAAAAGTGTGTGGGGTAGCCCAACCGGCTGCCTCACAGATCTCCTTGATGATAATAATAAGTCAGTCTCTTCCTGGTAAGTGTTGTAAGAGGGTGAGGTTCATGAGGGTGGAGTTTATTTGGGTAAAAGAAAACTGGAAAAACAAGTGTGTGTGTGTGTGTGTGTGTGTGTGTGTGTGTGTGTGTGTGTGTGTGTGTGTGTGTGTGTGTGTGTGTGTGTGTGTGTGTGTGTGTGTGTGTGTGTGTGTGTGTGTGTGTGTGTATGTGTGTGTGTGTGTGTGTGTGTGTGTGTGTGTGTGTGTGTGTGTGTGTGTGTGTGTGTGTGTGTACTATTCACTGCTCCTAAATGTGTGTGCACTAATTCTGAATATGGGTTCAGGATTTATTTTTTACAAATTGAACAAAACTTGCATTGAAACTTTCTCAGGTATAATGCTATAAAACCTTGAATCAAACTCTAAAAAAACACAAATATTGACAATAAAAATACTCAAAGACACTTTATTTATGTGTTTTATTTATTGCTCTTTATTTGTACATAGTTTAAGTATCCAATGACTTATCTGAGTTTTATTTGTTTAATAAATCCTTTTGTTATTTAATCTATTTTGTAACTTCATCATCATTGGACTAAAATGTTACATGTCAATTCACAGCTGCTCTTGTTTAGCAGTTTTACAGTTATGCTGTGTTTTTACAGTGCAATTGTAGTTGATTTACATTACTCTTTAATTTACAGGCTTGCTGGCAACCAAAATTTACTGTAAATGTTAAAAAACAATTACAATGTTGTATCATATTTGTACGTGGATACAAGTACTTAAACAGTTTGTGGTGGTCAACAATCAAGTACTTCAAATAAACCATTAGAGTGAGACAAGGCAAAAATACAACGTTCATTATTTGAAGAAAAAACAACAACAAATAACCTTTGTGGGACGGTTTTTATGCTCTAAAAATCCACAATCAAGTAATACATCCTAGAAAGCAAATCCTGTTATGAAATAAAGTTTTGTGTGAAGAGTCGACCATGCTTTTTATCAAATGAGGAGTTATTGCAAACATGAAAATACTTCAATGTATTAATGTCGCCCTGTAGTCAATCATTTTATCCCTTATAAATGACATATTTAAAAGATTTTTCCTTGAAAAAAATGTCTTCATGCCTTAAAATATCTTGAATGTAACTCGACACCCTTGCCTGATCTAGTATTTGTTTGGTTCTAAGAATATGCAAATGAGCCCCGCCTCCACTCGCTCCCTCAGCTCAGAGATCCACTGGTTGACGATCACACGTTGATCTGATTGGTTACAAGGTCGTTTGTGACGTCAGAAACACCAGCGATTTCAAACCGTGTTTTTGAGACTGTCTTTGGTTCACTGCAGTTTTAAGCAGAAAATACTCAGCAATGCTGTCGACTTATGAACTTACACATGGTGTGTCTTAAAGCGTATTAAAAACACCACATACACACATAAACAACATTAAAAGCTGGAATAGTGTAGAAGTTCCCTTTCGATACGGTTTATCTTCGATACATTTAGCTGACGCTAATGGTGAAAACGTCTCGGGTTATGACTATAACCCTTGTTCCCTGAGAAGGGAACGAGACACTGCGTCGTAAGATCGACACTTTGGGGACGCTCCCTAAGCGTGCGCCTCTGAAGTAAGAATGAAACTAATCCAATCCTGATTGGTGTTGCGTCGTGACGTAACATGTGACGGCATAACCGGATGCATAAAAGTGACGCTGACACATACACATATCAGCTCCGCGATGAAGCAAGACGCTCTCAGGCCTCGAGGGGCGTGGCAGGACGACGCAGTGTCTCGTTCCCTTCTCAGGGAACAAGGGTTATAGTCATAACCCGAGACGTTCCCTTTCGAGGGAACTCGAACTGCGTCGTAAGATCGACACTTTGGGGAACGAATGCCCACTAGGCCACGCAGCGAAGACAGGCCTGCCCCGGAGTGAAACTGATTCAGGCACTCAGCTAGGATGAGAGCACATGTGCGCCAGGCGTACTAGGGAGGTGCAGACTATAGAACCTAACAAAAGTGTGTGGGGTAGCCCAACCGGCTGCCTCACAGATCTCCTTGATGGGAACTCCCGAAAGGAGGGCCCTAGAGGACGCCATGCCTCTAGTAGAATGAGCCCTAACGGCCAAAGGTGAAGGCAAATTGTGCACCTTGTAGGCCTACTTATGGTTTGTATAGCCGGGAGCCCCTAATAGGTGATCCAAAACACACTACAGTAGGTCCGACCTCCTCCAAGAAGAGGACCTCTCAAGGTAAAACTCTGACTGGCAGAGCAAGGAACCTCTCCTTTTCTGCCGACACATGAGGTGGAGGATGAAATACTTGCAGGACCATGGACCTAGCCGTGATAAATTGCACTTAAGGCACATAGCTGGGTCTCGGATGCAGGATGGCCTTAACTCCGCCGGGGGCACACCCCAAGCAAGCTGGCGATAGTGCCAGGGCTTGGAGATCTCCCAGTCTCTTTAAAGAAATAGCTAAGAGAAAGGCTATCTTGAACGTGAGGTCCTAGGCGAAGCCGACTGGAGGTATTCGAAGGGAGCCAGGGATAGCCCTTCGAGAACCACCGCCAGGTCCCAGGAAGGAACCCTGGACCTGACTGTCGGTCTCATCCTCCAATACCATGGAGAAATAGTATGACCAGTTGGTGCCTCCCCAAAGGCCCAACATTTAGTGGTGCATGGAACGCCGCAATGGCAGCCACGTACACCCTACGTGTGGATGGGGAGAGATTCGCAGAGAAACGATCTCGAAGAAACTCCAGAACTGAAGCCATTGGGCAGTTAACTGGGCCTAACTCAAGTTCTCTACACCAAGTAGAAAAATATTCCACTTGAGGCCATATAATCTCCTAGTAGACGGAGCCCTAGAGATAAGTATGGTTTCGACCACCCCAGATGATAGACCAGCATCTAGGTACTGAGCCCCCTCAGAGGCCAGACCCACAATTTCCACAGCTCTGGTTGAGGATGGAATATAGTGCCCTCCGCCTGAGACAACAGACCCCTCCTCAGAGGAATCTGCCATGGCGGAGCTATCAGGAGTGAAATTAAGTC